TGACTAGTCCGTACTTCTTGATATTTACTGGCCGAAATAGATCAATGTCCATGAGTTCCAAAAGTCTAGAGGTGGAAACAACAATTTTAACTTTGAAAGAGTTTTTAGAAAAATTTCCTTTCTGGCATGCCTAACAAATAGCATTTGAAGCAAACTTAAGATTTGGAAGACCTCTGACTAGGTTTAGGTTATCGAACATAGAGATCCTTCTCATACTAACATGACCTAACCGTCTATGTCATCAGGTCCAGTACTCGTCATTCATCAGCAAGACATTCAACATTTTTTTTTCTAAATATGAAAGTTTAATTTTGTAAATGTTGTTCTTCCTCTTGCCTCTAAAGAGTACAAAGTCATCTTTCTAACTAACAATATTACATGACTTTTGATTGAATATAATGTCATAGCAATTATCACTTAATTGACTTATGGATAATAAATTATGCATTATGCCTTCAACCAATAAAAAATTAGATATAGAGGGAAGAGAATTGTTACCTATGGTTCCAGTACCAATAATCTTACCCTTTTGGTCTCCTCCAAAGCCTATTAAGCCTCAAGGCTTAAGTTCTAACTCTTGGAACATATGTCTTATTTCTATCATGTGTCGTAAGCATCCAGAGTCTAGGTACCATGATTGGTGTCTCAACTTGGCTGCTAAGGATATCTGCAATATAGATTATTTTATTTTTAGGTACCCATCTCTTTTGGGCCCTTTGTGGTTAGTCTTCCTAGAAGTTTTACCACCCCAGGGTTTGTGTGTTGAATCAGTGTCGTGTGTGTGACCATAAGTGAAATGAGAATATAGAGCCTTTGGATTTATCACCATTTCTTTTATTTTTGGTTCAAAGATAGAACTCCTTGGTGGGGTATAACCAATACCTCTTAGATCATTGAAGTCATCTTGCTTCTGTCTATGTTCTTAGCTAAAATTTTTTGAAAAGTTGTATCATATTCATTAGACATACATTCAGAATCCATATGAGCTACTAAAAGAATTTCCTTTTCAAGTTTTTCATTTTTGCTTCTGAGAGCAGGATTTTATTTTTCTAAATAATCCATTTTTTTTATTTTAAAGGAGAGTTTTCTTGTACCAGCTCACCGTGTGCTACAAAATTAGCAGCATGAACTTTTTTAGTTTCATGTGTTTCTCCTAGAGTTTCTGACTCTTTTCAAACATTTCTACTAAGTCTATTTCAATTTTAGTATGAGTTAATTGAGAAAATACCTCATATGATTCTGACTCTGAATTTAATTTTGGTTCTGAAACTTGAGTGCCAACCATGAATGCTATTTTAGCTTGTTCTTTTTCAAAGTCATCTTATGAGGAGTTAGAGTCGTCCCATGTTGCCATTAGACCTTTCTTCTTTTCTTTGGAGAACCTTTTCTTAAGCTTTTCCTTGATGAGTTTGGGACTCTCATTCCTATAGTGGCCTGGTTATCTGCACTCAAAGCATGTAAAATATATGTTTATTCCAGACATATACTGTCCAGAGTTTGACACAAATCGTTTTCCTTTTCTAAAGCCTTTGAAGTTGTTTTGTCATTTCTTCCATATACGGTTGATTCTTATGGGCAGAAGAGATAACCAATCCTCATCATCAGAATTTTCTTCAAATTATTCTACTTCAGCTTTAAAGGCTTTGTCTTTTGACTTCGGAGCCACTTGATTTTTCTGCCTTTGATGCTCATCCTCTTCTAGCTCGACCTTATAACTTCTCAGAGAACTTACTAGATCATCTAGAGTTGTCCGATTTAGATCCTTTAACACCTTTAGTGTTGTCACCATTGTCCTCCACTTCTTTAGCGAGCTTCTGATTATTTTCTTTACATGATCTGTAGTAGTATAACCTTTGTCCAAAACTTTCAACCCAACAACAAGAGTTTGAAACCTTGAGAACATTACATCAATAGTTTCATCTTCTTCCATTTTGAAAGCCTCATATTTTGAATCAAGGTTAGGGCCTTAGTTTCTTTCACCTGCTCATTTCCTTTATGAGTCATTCTTAAAGAATTAAATATAGACTTAACAGAGTCTCAATTTGTAATTTTTTCATTCTCATGTAGGAAATAACATTTAGCAAATTATTCTTGATTTGTGGTGATTTTTGTTATCTTTCTTTTGATGTTCACTTATTTTTCTTCTGTCAAGCTTAGCAATATTTAAGTTCAAAGGATGTGTGTAGTCATCTACTATCATATCCCATGAATTTGCATCACACCCAAGGAAGAAACTTTCATTTTATCCTTTTAGAAATCAAATTTCTCTCCATCAAAGATTTTAACATAATAGTGAGTAGTGTTGCTTGTATATGACTTCTCACCGCTGGTAGATGTCATTGTGTGTGTCCAATAAAAGCTAGACCTTTATTTGACACGGTTAACTGTTTTGACACAAAGTTGTCAATAACAGAACTGGAGATCTAATACCGATTGAAGGTGGAAGAAACACAAGAAAGGGGGTTTGGATTAATTTCTAATATGACAGATTTTCGTACCCCAAAACAAAAATTCACAATAATGAAATCAAAGATAAAGTACACAAGGATTTTTGTCCTAGTTCGCCATTAACAAGGATACCTCCAGTCCACTCACCTAAGTGATGTTACCTTGGAAAAGGTCTTAATACAATAATCAAAACTGATTACAAATGCAATGATAACCTCTCACTGATTTCTTAAGAATTCTGATCCAATTGGTCCCTTATGAAATTTGATGGTCATTGGCTCCTTAATATCCGGATCAACTTTGTCGCTTAAGGAAATTTCAATCTCACTGACTTCTCAAGAGCCTGACCAACCTGGTCGCTTGAGAAATATAATCAGAGTTACAATAATAAGTTTTGTGTTTATAGAGTTTGCTTTTTGATAAGCATGATACACAAAATTACAATCAGAGCTTCACACTTAAGCAAGATATGAAATAGATAGCTCTAAGTGTTTGAGAATAAAGTTTCTCTCTTTTATTTTCTTTTATGCACATATGATTTTTCTTTATTCTTTTGCTTTATTGTTTGTAGTTTACTTCATTTTCTCAGTAGTTGTTCTCTTTGCCAATCGTTTTTCTCTAGTCAATTTCTTATTTTCTTCATCTTTCAAATCCTCTTTATATAGGAACAAATAGATCCATTTTAGGGTTAAGATGAAATATCCTTTAAGTATCCGTTGTATGAAGGTCACTTCATATGTAACACTAGAGTGACGCTTGTAGCTGGTAGTTGGTAAGGATGATGAGACGCGTAAGACTTCTTTGACACAGAGTACATTACTTTACGCAGAAAGTAGATTTGTTTTTGTTCTTCTGTCACATCAAACAACATTAACATTTGGCTTGAACAACTTCTATTCAAAGACTTCTAATATTTGTTGATGAAGCTTGAGTAGCATTTTCAGAGTCTGTTATTAGAACTTGGTGAAACAAATAGAGTCTTTGGATAACTAGGTTTTAATACTTTCACAAGCTAATAGTCATATCCTTTTATCAGAGTTTGTCTGGATGATCAGTTCATAAACGTTAACTTGAAACTTTTAGAGTTGACGGTATGTAACCGTGCTTTTATTCATTGATTTAGAAACTAAACATCTTTAGCATCAGAATTTATTTCTAATTTCTAAACACTTATTTATAAATAGGTAGTAATACATGTGAAAAGAAGATTGATAAACAAAAAAGCGGAGATTAAAGCCAAAATTCACACAAAAGTATATAAATTTAAAAAGAGATAATTCTAACATTTTTTTTACATGATCACTCCTAATTTTTAAAGATAAAAAATAAAAAGTATGAATATATTAAATATGTCTCGGTTTATAAACGTTAACATGAAATGAAACTTTAGAGTTAACGGTATATAACCGTGCTTTTATTCATTGATTTAGAAACTAAACATCTTTAGCATCAGATTTATTTCTAATTTCTAAACACTTATTTATAGATAGGTAGTAATACATATAAAAAGAAGATTGATAAACAAAAAAGCATAGATTAAAGCCAAAATTCACACAAAAGTATTTAAATTTAAAAAGAAATAATTCTAACCTTTTTTTTATAGAAATGATATGGTTACACCCAAAAGTAACACTACACCTACTTTTATACGAAACATTCTACCTTTTTTTATTTTATTTATTATTTTTATAAAAATCAAAATTTGTGCTACATTGAAAATGAAACTAGGAGCTACGGTGTACATGTACAGTGTAAATATTTTGGTGTAAACATAGTACTCCTCTTTTTTTTACATGATCACTCCTAATTTTTAAAGATAAAAAATAAAAAAGTATGAATATATTAAATATGTGGCCCAATTTTTTTTAAAAAAAATCCGTACAATTATTTTCAAAGTAATAATAAAATTCATATTCAAAATAGTCTTAATGCAATTAAATCATCTGTTACTTAATTACCAAGGAATTTGTCTAAAGCTTTGGCCTATATTTGAAGTAATTGATATGTTAAGGTTATAACTACTGAAAAATGGTGGTCACATTTTGGTGCCTTTCCGTCCACGCAACATTAAAGTGCCTCATTATTTAATTGAGAATAAAAGAAAACAAGTAAGTATAAGTAAACCACGGTTGAAAAAAATTATAATCACTACTTCTTCCGTCTGATAAAAAGTATTATATTTGAATAAAATTGATTTTTAAAAAAATAGATATATTAATTTTAATGATAATATTAATATTATTTATTTTAATTAATAAAATAGCTGAATAAATTAAAAAATTAATAAATATAAATATAATAGTGAAAAAATATAATAATAAATATCATATTAATATTATAAAAGAACAATTATTAATGAGTGATTTAATGAGATTGAACTAAAACCAAGCAAGTAATAAAGACCCATTTGCATATAGTTATAAAATTTTAAGAGTATGCCAATATTATTTCTCTATAAATAGGATACAACTTGAACTAACTTCATCAATTGCATATTATCCATATTTACTTGTTTGTGTTATTGATTTTTACACCCCCCAGTTTCCATCAAAATGGCATACTTAGATGAAATAAGAGAAGCCCAAAGAGGCCGTGGTACAGCAACCATTCTAGCTATTGGTACCGCAAATCCATCAAACTGCATTTACCAATCTGATTTTACAGATTATTACTTCCGAGTTACCAACAGCGATCACATGCCTCAACTTAAGAACAAATTGAAACGTCTATGTAAGTTCATTATAGAGTATAGAAATTAGAAACACATGCTCATGCACGCATGCATGCACACTCATACGTTATCGTAATTGACTTTTTATTTTATTTTATGGGTATTTAACAGGTGAAAATTCAATGATAAAGAAACGTTACATGCACTTGACAGAAGAAATGCTGAAAGAAAACCCAAACATATCAACTTATGACAAACCATCCCTCGACGCACGCCAAGATATATCAGTTGCACAATTACCAAAGCTAGGGGAAGAAGCTGCATCAAAAGCCATAAGAGAATGGGGAAAACCAAAATCTGAGATAACTATCTCATATTCTGTACAACTTCTGGCGTTGACATGCCTGGTGCTGATTATCAACTCATCAAACTCTTGAACCTAAATCCATCCGTAAAACGATTCATGTTATGTCACCAAGGTTGTTTTGCTGGTGGAACTGTTGTTCGTCTCGCCAAAGATCTTGCTGAGAACAACGTTGGTGCACGAGTTCTTGTTGTGTGTTCTGAAATAACTGTCTGTACTTTCCGCGGTCCGAACGAAAATCACATAGATTCGTTGGTTGGACAAGCACTCTTTGGTGATGGTGCTTCATCTGTGATAGTTGGAGCGAACCCTGATACAACCACTGAACGGCCATTGTTTTATCTTGTTAAGGCTTCCCAAACGATTCTACCAAACTCTGAAGGTGCGATTGAAGGACACTTACGCGAAGTGGGACTCACTTTTCATTTGAAAGAAAATGTTGCTGAATGTGTTGGTGAGAATATTGCGGAATTGATTGGTGAGAATATTGTGAAGAGTCTAGAAGAAACTTTTCATCCACTGGGAATTAGTGATTGGAATTCTTTGTTTTGGGTAGCACACCCTGGTGGTCCTGCAATATTGAAGAGGATTGAAAAAGGTGTTGGGTTGAATAGTGAGAAACTAAATGCGACAAAACATGTTCTGAGTGAGTATGGAAACATGTCGAGTGCTTGTGTGTTGTTTATATTGGATGAGATGAGAAAAAGGTCTATGGAGGAAGGAAAATTGAGTAGTGGTGAAGGACTTAAGTGGGGTGTTTTGTTTGGATTTGGTCCTGGCTATTAGAATATTATTAATAATTCATATTTATTTAGTTGTACTATTTTCTTGGCCCCTAAGTTTGTTAGAGGGTATTTTAGTATTTATCTTATTCTAGTAACCCTAGTTTTAGCTTATAAATAGGGTGACAATCATTGTAACAATATATCATGTTTGTAGCCGTCATTCTCTTATTAGAATATTTCCTATTTCATCATTTATTCTATCTTTGCACCAACAATTGGTATCTAGAGCCCCGGTTCAGATTCATTGGGAAACACGGGAAACACGAGTGAACGTGAGGTCTTGTGTGTTTGATTTTGTTTCTCAGATTCTTGTTGAATCTTGAACAAAATCTGATCAGAATTTTTTAATTCTGTGGGTTGGGAAACACTGTGTGAGAAAACTCTGAGTGTATTGTGCAAAGTAGAAGATGAACGGAAACGGCAACATGAACACCAAACTTCCAGTATTTGATGGTAAAAACTGAAATCGTTGGATGATCCAGATGCGTGTGCTGTTTGGTGCTCAAGATGTTCTGGATCTTGTCACTGATGGTTATGTTCCAGTAGCAGCAGATGCAACTGATGAACAGAAAAACGCGCAGAAGGAAGTAAGGAAGAAGGATCAGAAAGCATTGTTCTTCATTCATCAATGTGTGGATGTAAACGTGTTTGAGAAGATTGCAGACTCTACAACAGCAAAGGCTGCATGGGACACTCTGGTGAGATGTTATGGTGGTGACGCATCAGTGAAGAAGGTGAAGCTTCAGTCCTTGAGAAAGCAATATGAGAATCTCAACATGAAGAATAATGAGAAAGTTTCTGAATACATCTCCAGAGTGATTCTGATCACTAATGAGATGAAGGCATGTGGAGAAACTCTTTCTGAAGAAACAATCATGGAGAAAGTGTTGAGATCCCTTACTCCTCAATTTGATTACATTGTGGTAGCAATAGAACATTCCAAAGATCTGAGCACAATGAGAATTGAAGAGCTGCAGAGCAGTCTAGAAGCGCAAGAGTTGCGTCTGACTGAGAGAAACTCTGAAAAGGAAGTAGAACAGCAGGCTCTGAAAGCAACTTCTGATAGGAGGTATCAGAAGCAGTCAGAAGCCAGGAGAAGATATGATGGTGGTCAGAAGTCAGAAAGCTCAACCTCTGATAGACAAAAGAATGCTCAGAGGGGAAAAGAGAAGTATGACAAAAGAAAAATACAATGTTACTGTTGTAAGAAGTTTGGCCATTTTGCTAGAGATTGTTGGTCAAACAAGGAGAAGAAATCAGAAGAAGCAAATATAGCCAGAGGCTCTGATGACGAATCTGTGCTGTTGATGGCCTCTGAATCTGATAATGTGGATCTGACAGACTGGTGGTATATGGACACTGGTTGTTCAAATCATCTTACTGGAAACAAGAAATGGCTGGTTGACTTTGACTCTGAAAAGAGAACAAAGATCAGATGTGCTGATGACAAATATCTTAATGCAGAAGGTATGGGAAATGTCAGAGTGACTCTGAACAATGGGAAAATAGCATTGATTCAGAATGTGTGGTATGTACCTGGCATCAGAAGCAATCTGATGAGTGTGGGGCAATTAATTGAGAAAGGTTTCTCAGTTACCATGAAGGACAATCTTCTGAAGCTGTATGACTGTAATCAGAAGTTGATTATGGAGTCAGAACAGGGAAGGAATAGAACATTCAAGGTGAATGTCAGAACTGCAGACTCAGAGTGTCTTAGTGCAACAAGTACTGAGAAGGAGAGTGAGCTGTGGCACAGAAGATTTGGTCATTTGAATTTCAGAAGCTTACAACATCTGAATTCAAAGAAATTGGTACATGGAATTCCTGCAATTAAGAAGCCTGAAAAGTCATGCAGAGTTTGCATGGAAGGAAAACAACCAAGATTGCCATTTGCATCAGAAGCTGCTCCAAGAGCAAAACATGTCTTGGGAGTTGTACACTCTGATGTGTGTGGTCCATTTCCAGTAGCATCAATTGGAGGGAATAAATACTTTGTGTTGTTTGTTGATGAATTCACAAGAATGACATGGGTATCCCTTATTAAGTTCAAACACGAGGTGTTTGATGAATTCAAGAAGTTCAGAATGAAGGCTGAGAATCAGAGTGGTCAGAAGTTGAAGATTCTTAGAACTGATGGTGGAGGTGAGTATAACTCCAAAGAGTTCCAGAAGTTCTGTGAGGAGAATGGAATTGAGCATGAGGTTACTGCTCCTTATACCCCTCAACACAATGGTCTTGCTGAAAGAAGAAACCGTACTTTGCTTGATATGGTGAGAAGCATGCTAAAGGAGAAGAAGCTTCCTCAGAAGCTCTGGGGAGAAGCTGTTGCCACTGCAACGTATGTACTCAACAGATGTCCTACGAAGAAGTTGAAGGAAATAGTTCCTATGCAGAAGTGGACTGGAGACAAGCAAAGTGTTAGTCATCTGAAGGTGTTTGGTTCTGTTTGCTATAAACATGTTCCAGAAGCCAGAAGACAGAAGCTGGATGATAGAAGCAAAGTGATGATTCTGATAGGGTACCACAGTACAGGTGCATACAAGCTCTATTGTCCAGAAACCAATAAAATTGAATTCAGCAGAGATGTGATTGTGAAGGAATCAGAAGTTTGGAATTGGGATAAGTCTCAATCTGATTCTGATGTTAGAACTTCTGAAGAAAGTTCAGAGTTAAGAATTTCTGAAGTTGAAGTAAACTCTGACGTTGATTCTGACTCTGATAGTGATTCTGACTCTGGAGAAGACTCAGAAGATGAAGGTGACTCTGATGATCCAGACTCTGATGGTAATCCAGATTCTGGTGGAAATTCAGACTCTGAAGATGGCCAAGGCTCTGGAGGAAGTCAAGCCTCTGAAGCTAGAAATTCTGAAGTTCAAGACTCTGGAAATATGCCAGATCCTGAAGTTGGTCAAAGCTCTGGAGAAAGTCAATCATCTGAAGCTCAAGACTCTGAACAAGTTCAGAGACCACAAAGAATCAGAAGCGTTCCCAGAAGATTTGCAGAATTTGACATGCTGCAAGACACTGAAGTAGACTCTGAAGGAGAAGTTATTCAGTGTGCCATGTTAGTAGACTCTGAACCTATAAGTACAGAGGAGGCTCTTAAGCAGAAGCTCTGGCTGAAGGCCATGAAAGAAGAACTTGATGCTATAGAGAGAAACAAGACTTGGAAGCTGACAGAACTTCCAAAAGACAAGAAAGCCATCAGCGTCAGATGGGTTTTCAAGCAGAAGTTAAAGCCAGATGGTTCAATTGGCAAACATAAAGCAAGGTTGGTAGCCAGAGGATTTCTACAGAAACCTGGGCTGGATTATTCTGAAGTGTTTGCACCTGTAGCAAGACATGAAACAATCAGAATGGTGATTGCAATAGCTGCTAACAGGAATTGGCCTCTGATGCATTTAGATGTAAAATCTGCATTTCTGAATGGTCCATTAGAAGAAGAAGTTTACGTGTCACAACCTCCTGGATTTGTGAAAAAGAATCAGGAAGGGATGGTGTACAGATTATACAAAGCTCTATATGGACTGAAACAAGCGCCCAGAGCTTGGAATCAGAAGATTGATTCATTTTTCAAGAAGCAAGGCTTTCAGAAATGTGAGATGGAGTACGGTGTCTATGTTCAGCATACTTCTGAAGGCAATATGACTCTGGTATGTTTATATGTTGATGATATACTATTGACTGGAAGTTCTGAACAGGAGATAGCCAAGTTCAAGAAGGTTCTAATGAATGAATTTGAAATGACTGATCTAGGCAAAATGACATACTTTCTAGGGATGGAGTTCAGATATTCTGAGAAAGGTATCATTTTGCATCAGCTCAAGTATGAATTAGAACTTCTGAAGAGATTTGATCTGAAGAATTGTAAGATGGCTGTCACACCTTCTGATACAAATCAGAAACTGGATTCAGACTCTGAAGGAAAGGATGTGGATGCTACAACCTTCAAACAGTTGGTTGGTTCTCTGAGGTATCTGTGCAATACCAGACCTGATATTTGCTACTCAGTTGGGATGGTTAGTAGGTTCATGAGTAAACCTAAGTGGTCCCATTACCAAGCTGCTGTCAGGATTCTGAGGTATATCAAAGGAACTCTGAAGTATGGAGTGTTATTTCCCTCTGGAGGAAATAATGAGTCAGAACTTCTGAGTTATTCAGACTCTGATTGGTGTGGAGACAGAGTTGACAGAAGAAGTACATCTGGGTACTTGTTCAAATTTCTGGGAGGTCCCATTTCTTGGTGTTCCAAGAAGCAACCTGTTGTGGCGTTGTCAACCTGTGAAGC